AGCACTTGATGAAGCCCAAAGGAAAGTAGAGAACTACTTTTTTGATATCCGGAAGCAGTTGTTTGAATATGATGAAGTCTTAAATAGCCAAAGAGATCGTGTATACACTGAGAGAAGGCGTGCACTCCAATCAGACAATCTACAATCACTTATTATTGAATATGCTGAGCTGACGATGGACGACATATTAGAGGTAAATCATATGAACTTTCTTTCATATGCCGATGTATCACTGAATTCAAATATATCAGATGCCTCACTTATCTTAAAACTATAGGCAAATATTGGCTCTGATACTCCAACTGAAAGCTGGGATCTTGAGAAGCTCATAGCAAAAGTTCAACAGTAAGGGGGCTACTTCATTTTGCATCAATTTGTTAAATCCACTGCATGCATGAACTGCTTTCTGGTAGATATTGGTATAACCTGAACTTAGTTTCGATGACTCATATTTCGCTTTGTTTATAGGTATTGCTATCTATTGGATGATTTGACCCCAGAATTACTGAAGAGTAAAAATTCCACATATGAGGATTTGCAGAATTATCTTCGTCTACGTGGACGTGAAGCATACTTACAGAAACGGGTCTGCACGTCGATTATAATATGCATACACACACACACATACATATCCCTCCCTTCCCACCTGACCCTTTTGAGGCATATAAGTGATCTGATTCTTGCATGGGCCCACCCCACTACTTTTACTTTGTTTTAAAGTTCCTTATTTTCATTTTAAGGCGATGCCCTCCTAGATGTCGCACATTTTTTCATTCTTCAAATTCTTTCTTTATCTCACTTTTACCTTCTTTACCATGATTTTATATCCCTGATTTTGAAACCAAATTTCCTTTGACCTTTCTTTTGTTGGTTCTTTGTTTTCTTCATTTTACATTCTTATGTAGCCTTTTTGTATTTTTCCTTGCTGAGCTTGTTTTTCTACCTTGTTTTGTCCTTTTCTTTTTCAAGATCGGAAGTGTTTCCTCATTAACCTATTGGTGCTAGTAAACGAAAATTAGTCTAAATTCACAAAGGAAGCTAAATCATTATTTATTAAGAACACTAAATTTCTCTTAGTCTAACAAACTAAAATTTTAAGTTTATTGAGATTGTTATATTGTTTATATTTTCAGGATATTGTAGAGAAGGAAGCACCAGGACTAATGAAGGAGGCCGAGAGATTCTTGGTATTGAGCAATATTGACCGATTATGGAAGGAACACCTGCAAGCACTTAAGTTTGTGCAACAAGCCGTAGGTTTACGTGGATATGCCCAGCGCGATCCACTTATAGAGTACAAACTTGAGGGCTATAACCTCTTCCTGGATATGATGGCACAGATAAGGAGAAATGTTATATATTCCATATATCAGGTAAGGACTGTATGTATACTCTTGGTTCCTCTCTCTATATTTTTATTACAAATTCTCTTTACTCTCGTCTTCCGACAGTTCAAACCCGTGCTCGTAAAGAAGGATCAGGATTCTGGAAGGAAGGCGAAATCGGCAGAAGTTGTAACCAATGGTGTAGGTACTAATAATAATCCAGATCCAGTTGCTTCTGAATCGTCTCCCAAAGCAACTGCCTAAAATCCTGCTGCTGTTTCCCCATTGTGTTTAAAAATGGAGGATTCTTTTGAAGCCTTCTGCCTGTATCTAGGAAGACATGCTTGTAGATAGCCCCAGAAGAGTTTGGTAAGGGAATGAGATGAGCATTTACATTTACATCAAGGTTTAGATGGAATGTGCATTGATACGAGAAAAGTCTATCAAAACTAGTGTTGGTGCTTATAATTTTTCAGGGTAGGGTATCGCAATATGCACGTGTCCGCGCACGTGTACGGGGCGGGGTAGATATGAATTTTTGTTCAACTCCAATATTTTATTCTTAGTATGTAAAATAAACAAACAATTGATCATAATATCTATATTGTCATTAGAAAAAAATTCAGCTCAAATTGTTATTGGTTCTTGATGGTTGGTTGGCCATGGAACCATCAGTGAACTCTGGACTTCTTTATATATATATATATATTTACTACCTTTCGTATCATAGTCATCCTTGTCCAACATGTTACAGGTTTATTCTAAACTTTTTTTATTGGTATATCTTTCATTTTATCTAGTTATTTAGGTTTTTTTTATAATTTAATGAGCGATTCATTCTCACTTTTGATGTTTATGTATGTTGATGACAATTTGAATTAATATATATTACATAGGAATACGATTAATTATCAAATATTTTCACTTGGATTATATGCCATCAACGTTGTCATTACTCCTTATTGCTTGCTAACGTTAACATTGTTTTCTCATATTTCTTTCAAAGCGTTTTTCAAAATTTTATCCAACTTCGTTTCTAAAACTATTTTGAAGAACGAGTAGAGGTAAAATTATATGTCGTTTGTGATTTTTATGACTCGAATTTAAGTTTGTTGACTTACTTGTGGGCGAGAGTAAGTATGCATAATTATTTCTGGAGTCTCAAAAGAGTCACATGTTAGTGACTAAGTAGTGCTAGTTCTATATTGATGTGGTAGTTGGTTGCATTCATAGGATGTCATTCAAGAATTGATGTTTAAGTTTGAGACCCTAGAAGATAAAAGTAACACGCAATGAGTGCTTTGAGCATGGGATAACTTGATCGGCTCCCTCATACACATGGACAAATGGGTTGAAGGGGTAAGACAATTCTCAAAAAGTAATACACTAGACAATCTTGGACTTTCATAAAAATGCAAAGTTGGACTCGATGTGGTAATGATCGAAGTGGTAGATTTGAGCACTAAACTAAATCAACCATAAGAGCAATGGGGAATCTAACCCCAACATGGAGCATAGTCTAGTTTAAGTCCTTTCGTGGAATTGGAGATTTCAAGACTCTAGAAAATTTAATCTTTGACATCCAAAAATACTTTTAACCCACAAAAATCACGACAGAGGAAGCGATGATCATGTTGACAATGATGCGACATTATGGTGGAGGTCGGTCCAGGTACATAGACATTCAAGATAATCAATGTACCATAGACACATGAGAGAGATTAAAATAAGAGCACGTTCTTCTCTGGGAATGAGAACGGTGAGATATTAGTGAGACAAAAATCGAAAAAATTGAAAAATACTAAAAGTATTTGATCTAGATCGAATGTATAATTTATATCGTAAGTAAAAATGTATGTCGTTGACTCGGGTGAATTCGTTAAATAATTTGGTAAGCGAATATTGAAAAGGTTAGTTTGATGTTGACATTCACATTGGATGCTGGAGTTGGGGGAAGCTTTGTTTGTTTTTTTGTGTGAAAAATGAGCATTGATGGGCACTTGGTTTGTCCGGTGTTATGGAAGACATTGTCTCTCTTTCCACAGACATTTTTTCTTAATTTTCTTTAAACCAATAACAAAAGCATTACAATTGATTGCTACCATATCTCCTCTTCCCCCTTTTTTCTTTTTTGCTCGGTTTGGTCCATTCCCATGTGGTTATCGATTCTACGCCTAATACGAATAGTGAAAAAGAGATTAAAACATCTTATTCGGTGCTTAAAAGGGATGATTTTGATGTAATGAGCTACTCAATTCTTTAACGACAACATTTGACATAACCGAATCGAACAAGGACGTGTAGCGTAGGGTATATGTGGTGACTCTCGTGGATATATGAACCCCTTGGAATACAAATGAGAATTTCTTCAAATCAAAAGCTGATTTCTTTCATCCCAAGTGATCGTAACTCTTTGGCTTTGCTTCTTAGCATACATCATATCAAGCTTGAATGATTCTTAGCCTACAGCATAAACTCCACAATGATATGATATTGTTTACTTTGAACACAAGCTCTCGTGGCTTTGCTTTGGGCTTTTCCAAAAGGCTATCAATGAAGATAGTATTTTTTAATTATAAACCCATGAACATTCTCTAAATTAACCGAGAGCAAATGAATAAATGTGTGTATGCAATAAGTGACAAAGTAAAGGAAATCTTCGTTCTTTCTTCGACTTCGAAGAAGATTATTACAAGTTGCTAACTTATTTGAAGTGTTATTCACTAGAGTTTGAACTCATCCCTAATCAAAGTTGCTCGTTGATAAGCATAACTACAAAACTGCATTGTGGCAATTGTGAGATCCCATATCGATTGGAGAGAGAAACGAGTGCTAGCGAGAACGTTGGGCCTTAAAGGGCAGTAGATTGTGAGATCCCACAGCGGTTGTAGAGGGGAACAAAGCATTTTACAAGTGTGTAGAAACCTCTCCCTAGCAACACGTTTTAAAAACCTTAAGGAAAAATTCGAAAGGAAAATTCCAAAAATGATAATATATTGGTAGCGGTAAGCTTAGACTATTACATTGTAAACAACAAGGCCGGAATTGACAAATGTGTTCCAATGGAACGTCTAAACAGTTTATTTATTTATTTATTTTTGTTCTTAGCGTCCATTAGTATTGTTCGATACATTCATTTCATTATTGCTTAATAGAAACTCTAACATATTTATTCACTACAAACCTATTTTCATATTTAATCTTTTCATTTGTCCTCGATCGATCGTAATTAGCTTAGGAGGAAATGTATTTTGATGTGTTGCATAGTAGGAGCCGAGAAGTAGTGTTTTGGAGGCGGACGTCACAACCAAATCCTTTCATTGAACCATATTTTTTTCTGCATCATACATCTTATTATGGTGGAGCATTGACAACGGTCTCTGATACATAAAAGCTCAACTATAGATCTATATCAGACTGATTTACAGTTTACGGATGAAAATTATTTAATTAATTAATTTTGTACGGGATTAAAATTTTCTTTTCCTTTTTTCCTAGGTCATAATAATATTAAAGTGTTAATTTAATTGAAAAATATATATTTTATATATCAGATATATTAAATATAAAATGAAAAATTAAAGAAAAAAAAACGATGAAAATATAACGTTTCCCTTATGAGAGATTCATCCATTAAAGACTATTTTAATTCTTTTTCAAATATATTTCGTATTCCGTTCCATACTTGCTTTGAGCCACTCTCATCACACTTGAAGTGATCAGATTCGGAAGAACATTCAACCATATCTCACTTTTTTTCTTTTTCTTTTTTGGTTTTCGATCCGTTTGAGTTTTCCGGTGGTTCATCTCCGCCTTGGTTTCCCGTCGGAAGAGGAGGGAGAAGAAGCAGTTGAATGCGGTGAAGCAACAGGCAGGGCAGGACCTACTGCTCAATATTATCCAGTAGCAACGGTCAGCGTCAATGATTTGTGTGGGTGGTGGTGCCTCAAGCCTCATTATGATCCACCTAATCACATTTATAACTGCTGGATCTTGATCTTCCTCAACAAGCTCCCCTCATTTCATTTTCTTTTTCATCTGAAAAGAGATTTGGACGTTTGGAGACCAGGAGCCCGGACGGTGTTGTGATTTGTCATCCATCTGATCAACCGGAGCAACTCAGTCGTATCGTATGAAGACACCTCTCACTGTGAGTTGTTTCCTCTTTCTCAACTCCAACACTTGTAAAATTGACACCAATTCCTACTAATTTCTTCAATTTGATGGTCTGAGGTTTCGCTTTTAAGCTACATTTTGGCTAAACCCCAAAATCCCGATTAATGCTGAATGCCTAGCGCAATTCTCTCTCCGTTGTGGCTGTTGCTACCTTAATCTTAGGTTTTCTTACATTATTCGTAAAATTGGGGCTAGTGGACGGCAAATTTTCTGATTCCCGTTTTCCTATTATGATTTATTTAATTGAAGTTCTGCAAGCTCAAACCAATTACTTTTACTTGATCGCCTCACTTCGATCTATCTTGATTGATATTCAGCTGTTTTTCTTTGCCACCAAATTCCTTCGGGTTCTTTGCACCTTTGTAGAAGAAGATCCCTCCGGTAACCTTGTTCCTTGTTCATTGTTAGAGCAGGAAGAGCAATGTTAATTGCGGAACTAAGCCAGATGATGCACTTGATCCCTTCCCTTTTGATACTTTTAACAATAGTGGCTTTATTCTTTCAGCTGGTGGATGTTCTTCTGTTGCTTGCATTGTTTTGTATTTCTCCATGGGTTGCTGGGAGTAGCAGCTCTTATTGCAAGCTGACTAATACAGGAGAAATTCGACCCCACAGTGTCTCTATCACTGATTTTGGGGCAGTTGGAGATGGTGTCACTCTCAACACAAAAGCATTCCAAAATGCTATTTTCTACCTCAACTCTTTTGCTGACAAAGGTGGTGCCAAGCTTTTTGTCCCAGCTGGGCGTTGGTTGACAGGAAGCTTCGATCTTATCAGTCATTTAACTTTGTGGTTAGATAAGGATGCTGTGATTCTTGGCTCAACGGTAAGCTCTTGCTTCCTGGTTGAATAAAAGTGTCTACCAAGCAAAGTTTTGAGTTAACTGGTTGTTAGTACACCAAAATTCTCCCCTTGCAAGTGCTTTTTTAATGAATTTGAGCTGATTTTCAATCAGATTAAAGTACAAGATGTAGTGGCATTGTATTGTTCATCAAAATTCTCCCCTTGAAGGTGCATTTTTAATGGATTTGAGCTGATTTTCAATCAGATTGAAGTACAAGATGTTGTGGCATTGTATTGTACACCAAAATTCTCCCCTTGAAACTGCATTTTTAATGAATTTGAGCTGATTTTTAATCAGATTAAAGTACAAAATGTAGTGGCATTGTATTGTCTAATGATGAATGTTTTGTAATTTTTTCAGATCTCTGATGACTGGCCGATTATCAAACCACTGCCATCATATGGTAGAGGACGCGAGTTGCCAGGTGAACGACATCGAAGCCTCATCTATGGATGCAATTTGACTAATGTTGTCATCACAGGTAGAGCCCATATTAAAGAACAGTTGTATTCTGCAGTCACCTTTATACTCCTTAATTGTTGTTACTTTTAATTATGTGCAGGTGAAAATGGAACCATTGATGGACAGGGTAGCATCTGGTGGGACTGGTTCCATAGTAAAACGTTAAACTATACGAGGCCGCATTTAGTTGAAATTATGAATTCAACTAATGTTGTAATCTCAAATCTGACATTCAAGAATTCACCCTTTTGGACCCTCCATCCTGTATATTGCAGGTCTTTCCCCATATGGGGAAGCATAATGTTCATTCTTTCCTTGATTGTTGAACTCGATACTTTATCTATTACGAAGACATGAAACTGAGCTCTTCATTTTTTCTATTTTGAATAAACAGCAAAGTCCTTGTCCAGAATGTGACAATCCTTGCACCATCTGATTCTCCAAACACCGATGGTATTGATCCAGGTGAGGCATCATGTTCTTGATACTAACCTTTTATAATCAGTTTATTTATTTAGAGCATTCTTTAGTTCAAAAGTATGACTCTGCAAATATGTAGAGAATAGAAAAAAGGTTTCATATATATATAAATATTCGTGAGATCCCACATCGGTTGAGAGGAGAACGAAGCATTCTTTATAAGGGTGTTGAAACCTCTCCTTAGAAAATGCGTTTTAAAAACCCTGAGGGGAAGCCCGAAAGGGAAAAGCCCAAAGAGGACAATATTTGCTAGCAGTGGCCTTGGGTCGTTAGAATATTGCTTGAGCCTTGAAGAATAAGGTAATTCTCAGAAAGCTAAAATTTTGAATATGATGTGCTTCAAGTTAATTATAGTCAGTGCCCCTGCCTTTTAACCGTCTGTTTGAAGCTGACATTGTTATCTTACACAAACTTTTCATCTCCAGATTCTTCATCTGAAGTTTGCATTGAAGATTGCTACATTAGCACAGGCGATGATCTAATTTCGATCAAGAGTGGGTGGGATGAATATGGTGTTGAGTATGCTCGTCCTAGTACGAACATTACCATTCGAAGGCTCACTGGGCAAACTACTAGTGCGGGAATTGCAATAGGAAGTGAGATGTCTGGAGGCGTGTCAGAAATTCTTGTAGAAAACATCCTATTTTTCAACTCGAACATGGGTATCAGAATTAAGACGTCTCCAGGAAGGGGTGGTTACGTGCGGAATGTTTACATATCGAATGTGAGCTTGATCGATGTAAACGTAGCTATAAGGTTCACTGGTAAGTATGGTGAGCACCCAGATTCTGATTATAATCCAAATGCTCTTCCGACAGTTGAAAGGATCACAATTAAACATGTTAGTGGGGAGAATATTAAAACAGCAGGCGTTTTAGAGGGCATAGAAGGAGATGATTTTCATAATATTTGCTTAGCCAATATCACGCTTAATGTGAGCTCAATGCACCAATGGAACTGCTCGCATGTGCAAGGATTTTCTGACTTTGTTTCTCCAAAGACATGCCATTCTCTGAGGGAAAGAATTTTTCCCCAACATATTTCGGATTGTTATCAGCCACCAAATTTCATTGCTCAGGTATATTCTCTGAGCTTTGTTGGGTTTAGGCTTTGTTGTCATCATTCTTTCAATCGTTTTCGAATATTCGAGTGATTGTATGATTTTGTCTAGTCTCTTGTGTGATAGATGAGTTCAACATGGACCGACTTCATCGGGATGTCGATTGCTTTGCCTGATGAATCAAGTAAAAGCTAAGAGCTGTGTGTGGCTGAACACTTTCAAATGGCAGGTACACAATCAAATGTTATTTGTTTTCTGGACTTGGTGTGCAGCAAAGTTAATAATGGAGTGATTAATTAGAATATGTATATAGAGAGAGTTTCTTTTCACACACATTTGCAACCACACTTAGAATACACAAAAGTTAGTGTGGGTGTAATGTATGAACTGAGTTTCTTAAATGATAGCTGAGCAAGATTTCTTTGGGAAGAAGAATTCAGTAATAGCTATTCATACATGGTCGGGGTTGGGTTGGGTCGGGTCGCACTATGTTCAAAACGGTTGAAAGAACACTATCTCGGGGAGACCATACTCTCCTCCTTGATGATGGAGCATAAAACCTGTCTTGAAATATAAGTCTCGAGCTCTTTGGACACTTCTGTCAACTTGAGGTCAAAATTGCTTCTGTACTTCCTGTGCTTTGGAGATATTGATGCTGTAGTGTCTGGGGCTGGAACTGTGGTCGGAGAGCCCGAGCATCGCTTCCTTGGGCTCGAAAAACTTCCAGGGGAACCAGTAGGGACCCTTCCCTTAGCCTTAGGCAGCAACTCACCTTTTGCATTCCCCCAACTTCCCCTTCCATCTATATTATCACAATTACTAGTATTAGTATTAGAATTATTCTGTAGGCCAGATTTCGTCTCTAGTGGCAGAGGCTTCAGGTAGTCGTGATTGGATATCTTTAGTCTTTCCTTAGCTCTCTCAGCTGCTGCAAGTGCCTTGTCTGTGCTCAGAGTTATCAGTTTCCATGGATCGATACTGATACGAAGGTCTTGTTTCACGGTGGATGTACTCTGGGGATTTGCATCTATTTTTCTGGATAATTGTGTCGAGTCCTGAACGTACAACACGAGATTAAGGAAGATCCTCCATAAAACTACGTATCAGTATGTAGCTTACAATGTATAATTACCTCTTTGACTCGTCCTCCTTGGCACGTGATAAAACGTGACACGAAAGTTGGCTTCTTCTCAGGCAAATCAAAATCATCATCAGAAGAGTAATCTGAGTTTTCGTCGAATGAATCGTCGTCGTCGATAATAAATTGACTCTCCTCTTTCATGGCGAGTATGTAGTCATATGTTCTCATTCCCTGGAGCCAGTGGTTAAATATATTGAAGAACAGACTCGCCATAACCAATCCACCTTTTGTATGAGAATGAATACTCACCTTTTGTATGAGAACTACGTGAAAGAAAAATAGTTGTCCAAGCGCTGCGGAACCATAAGCCGTCATCAACACAAGTAAGACCTGTTGTGCCAATTTGAAGAATTCGATTAACTGGTAAGGAATTACAGATCTCTACAATGACATGATATTGTCCATTTTGGAAACTCTCATGGCTTTGCTTTGGGATTCCCAAAAAAGCTTTCATACTAATAAAAATGTATTCCTTAGTCATAAACCATGATCAAACCCTTAATTAGCCGATGTGGGACTTCTCTTCCAACAATTCTCAAGAATCCTTCGGTCGAACAACTGAGGCCTATGGAGCCCTCGAACAGCCTCCCCTTAATTGAGGTTCGACTCCTTCTCTGGAGTCCTCGAACAAATTACACCATTTGCAAAACTTGAGTCACTTTGACTACATCTTTGAGGCTCACAACTTCTTTGTTTGATATTTGAGGATTCTATTTACATGGCTAAGTTAAGGGCATGACTCTGATATCATATTAGAAATCACGGATCTCCACAATGATATGATATTGTCCACTTTGAGCATAAGCTCTTATGGCTTTGCTTTGGGCTTCCTCAAAGAGTCTCGTACCAATAGAGATGTATTCTTTACTTATAAACCCATGATCAACCCTTAATTAGCTAGCGTGAGACTCCTCTCCCAACAATCTTGAACACTTATTTCACATACGAAATGTGAAGAATGCGAAGAGGATTTAAGAAAAACTTACTGTGATTGTGGCAAGCACTTCCCTTGGAAACTCTATGTGGAACCTTCTTTGCAGCTCCATTTCCATTCCTTTTTTATCTACAAAGCACCTAACAAATATGGCAATGGACACTCCTCCTTCGATCGCTAGCTGTATCAGTCCAATTTTTTTTGGTTAGAACCATTATCAAACAATAATCAATACTGAAAGTAAAAAGGCAACTGACCATTAACATTACGGATATCATCAGAAGAAAGAATGTGGTATAGTTCTTCTTCCCAACACAGTTGTTTAGCCACTGAGAACAGTTGAAAAAAAAAAAAAAAACCATTCATCGGGAATCAAGAAAGCCACAAATAGAACATGACAAATGAACGCGTGTTGAATACAATTTTTTTTGTTCGACATTTGAGGATTCTATTGACATGATTAAATTAAGAGTATGACTCAAATACCAAAGGTTGAGAATCACGATTCTTCACAATGGTATGATATTGTCCACTTTAAACATATAAACTCTCATGAGATGTGGGAGAGTCTCTCAACAATCCTTTAACAGCGTGAAGTATTCGTATTATTACCCTGCAATGATGATCGAATCCTTCAACGCAGCGGTTGCAGGTTCGACAGTGCTTGCTATGCCTCTTCACCTACATTGAAGCAACAACAATAAGCGGTTTAATAACCCAGCCCGACTTGTTCATTCGAATAGGTCAGAAGGTCAGTAATCAAAGTTTACATCATATTATGTACCTCGAAATTACAAAGAGAGCAAAATGTTAAATCCTCCTCGTTATGATCCGAAGTGACCACATCATCCTTCATTACAAGAGGAAAAGGGATCAAAGGCTCCATCTGAGGTCTCACCTTCCATGGATCCAGATACTTCCTCCGGATGAATGTTTTGAGAATCTTCCTTTCCATTTTCCTAAATTGCCTCGAAACGATTTCTCCAAGTATCAATCCATAATTTAGGTTCGATTTCGATTTCAATTTTGATTCCGATTTGGAATTCATCTTCTTCTTTTTCCGGACACTGATTTTATCAGTTGGATCAATGGCGACGCACCTTACGAACAGAAACATAGCGGAAACGGCCTGAATAGAATCACCAAACGGAGAAGAACAGTAAAGATCCAATAAGTAGCGAGAGAAATCAAAAGAAACAGAGATCGAAGCTTCATTCAATTTCATTACCACAAACGAAAATATTGTCGTGATTGCAATTTCGGCGGTTCTGTTTCCAAGGAAAAGCCCTAGGAAAGTATAGAACGCGGCTACGAGAAAACTGTAAATTGCCATTGCCACAATCTGAAGGAGAAGGAAGCAGCTGGTAATGTAAAAACAGGAGGAAAAAGAAGAAGGAAAAATCAGAAATTATTGCGTTAACCTAACCTGTAGAGGGTGGAGAGGAGGTTGCCAGCCATGGCGTCTCATGATGATGCTTGAACACTGCGCGGGCGGAAGGTGTGGGGAGTTCACGTTTTTATCAAACTGGGACCACGCTCACTTCTTTCTGTTTTATCCCCAACGGTCGAATATCATGCGGTTTAGTTTGAATTTGAACGGCGCTTTGCTTTTTGCAACGGCGTCCAGTTCATGGGCCCATGGGCCTTCTGGATTTTCTAGCTAGTTTTAAATAAATAAATAAAAAAAAACCTCTTTTTGTTTTCTTTTTGTTGAAGTACTTTAAATTAAGGAAAGTGCACTAACTGATTCACGTCGGTTGAAGCAGCCGTGTACATGGTTTGAGTCGGGTTGGATTATGATAATGGGTTCACTCTATTTTTGGGGGTTAGATTGAGTTCTCCGATCTTTGCATTAGGACGTAGAACCAAATTTTGTGAATTTTTTTTTCCACTCAATCCAGAAATAAGATCGGACTTTATTTTGGTTCGTCTCCATTTTAGTGAAACTCTTCCTCAAGCAAGGCAGCCGATAAGTCATCAAAGGGTCTGTGTGAATAAAAAAATAGTCTCCATTACTCATTTTAAAGTGTCCCACGGTGATCTAATATCTTTTCAAGAAAATGACGCGAGAATCTGTGGTGAAGAAATAAAGAGATCTTTCTATATCGATATCTCAGTTGAAAAAATCATAAGCAAGTTTCTGGATTACCCGGTAAGAAGGTGGAGAAGAACTAAAACAGAATGGTTCCACCTACTCAAAACTAAGAGAGGATGCCACCAAATACTAAAATCCCAGTTTTTGCAATAGTTGCGTTTTTCTATGCAAAAATCAGACTTAGAAAGAAGAAAGAAGTTTGGATCGGAAAAAGTATGCTTAGATAGTTCCTTCGCTGAGAATAACATAATGAAGAGAAATTTGTAGTATCATTTTCAATCCCTATTCTTATTGAATAGAAGGAAGAAAAAAAATCGAAATCTTCCTACTCGAAGAATCAGTCTTATAGTTTACAACTCCTTTATACAGTAATTTGACCTCATATATATATATATATATATATATAAAAGAGTAAATTGAGTAAGAAAATTAGAAAGCTAAGTGAAGAGAAGAAGGATATTGCAAGAGTAGCGTTGAGATGCTATTTTGGGTATTTTGATTAGGTAGTTTTCATCCTGGAGTCCGTCTAAAAGTTTTTTGAGAATGATTAGGAAGTGAGTCCTGACGTTGTTAATTTAGTGGAAGATCATGCGTTTATAAGCAAGGAATACTATCTCCATTGTTATCGGGAAGCCCAAAGCAAAGCCATAAGAGTTCGTGGACAACATATAACTGCACCAGTGAGTATACATTTTCACACCCAACTCTACATTCTACAACTCTCACACCCAAAAATCTCTACCTCAATCGGCCACCTCTTTGATTTTTTTTTCGAATGGTAGCGATCAGCCAATCACTATGTAGAATATCCTATCAGCGTCAACTATATTACATAGATCTAGTCAATAAAAGAAGGATGATCATTGAAAGAGATCATTGGATATGTCAAATTTCTAAATCTCTCTTCTTTTTCTGTGTTTTTTTTTATTTTTTGGGTCAAATTGCACCAAGTTCATTACAATTCTCTTATGTGTTCTAAAAAATTATGTTTCAAATCCGTTGTCAAAAGGGTCGAGAATCAATCAAAAGTGGTCAAAAGTTGGTCGTAAATAGGCAAGAAGAAAAAAAAAGAATTTGGTAAAATGGTAGCCTCGTATCCAAACCATAGGCTCAAAATTCGAACTTATATCCAAACTAAAGGTGTACATTCAACCCAACAACTCAGACCAACCCAACCCGAACTATAAGGGTTGGGTTGGGTTGGATTAACTTTTCAGGTTGGTTTGGGTTTATTTTTCTGAACCCGAACTGATTTTGCGTCGGACTCCGAACATGAACCTCAATAAGCAGATCAGCCGAAGTGTAGGTTCATGGTTGAACCAAGCCAGATTTAGAAGCCTATCAGCCAAGTTGTTCTTGTTCCAACCTAGATTGTCCAGCCCACAGATGCCTTCCGCTCAAATCCAACGCACAACCCAACCCACATCATACTCACATCTTAAAGTGTAACAACCCTATTTTTCCTAATAAAATAGAAATATCACTACATGCATGACATGACTAATATGTTCGAAAAATTAAAAAAATACTGTTATCAACAATAGTGGAAACATATATAACATGAATTTAAATAAACTAAGGCAAAGCCCCGATCTAACCCAATGGCTACTAAACCAAATATGAATGCAATTATCCCAACTAAACTTCCACGACCTTCACAACGACTTCCACGACTTTATCTTTACTTGAAAAAAATTTGCACGTGGCTTAGCATTTAAAAATACTCAGTAAGTAGATTCAGTATTGAGATGAGTAAATGCAATCATGATGAGATCTATCTTTTCATAAAATATCATAACGTTGGTCTCTACTTTCTAGTCTAGGAAAAATTGGATGTATAATACTTCTTTACACACAATCCACGCACATGCACATGAACTCCAGGCGGGTTCGTATACATACCTCTAGACCTGGTCTTCGGCTAATGTACATTCACGCTACTTGAAAACTTCGACATTAGCTCCTTCAACTCCCATTTTGTCACTTCATGATTAATCCCTACTCAAACATCCATTTTCCTCCTATTTTGTCATCTCTTCCACCTTCTATTCCTTCTCTAAATTCACCCACTAATTCTAATTCTATCCCACCTAATACAGCAATTTCACTTCAACATTCTATTCGAACTTGGCATAATGATTATGAGATGTCTTCTGCAGCCAATCATTTAGCCTCTAGCTTAAGTCCCAATACTGGCACTAGGTATCTCATCATTACCTTTCATTCTCTCGTTTTTTCTCCTACTCAACGTGCTTTTCTAGTTCTTATTACAACCCAGACAAAACCTAAAATCTATGATGAGGCAGTTGGCGATCCATTATGGCAGAAGGCTATGAATGTTGAAATTACAGTTTTGGAACGTAATCATACTTGTCTCTCATTCCTCTACCATCTGACCATAAATCTATTGGTTGTCGTTGGGTGTACAAAATTAAATACAACTCTGATGGTTCTGTTGAACATTATAATGTTCGGCGGGTAGCAAAGAGATACACTCAAGTTGAATGTATTGATTACAAAGAAACCTTTTTCCTTATAGCGAAACTTCCTACACTTTGTTGCTTATTCACTATTGCTCTTAGAAATGGTTCACTCATCAATTCTATGTTCAAAATGTCTTTCTCCATGGTAATCTAGACGAGGAAGTCTGCATGTCTTTACCACCAAGTATTCGCCGAAAGGGGGAGAATACAGTATGTCAGCTACATAAATCTCTTTATGAATTAATATAGGTTTCTCGCAATCGATTCTCCATATTCTCTACCATTATAAAAAGTGCAGGCTACACTCAGTTCAAAGAAGATTACTCTTTATTTACTAAGAGTAGAGGTACTTCTTTTACTGTCATTCTTATCTATGTTGACGATATTCTGTTTACTGACAATGATCTCAAAGAAATTCAACATCTCAAAACTAGTTTACTCGAGAAATTCCTTATAAAAAAAATTAGAGGAATTTGCATTGAATTTTCTAAGAAATTTTTATGTCTTTAAACAAAATATGCTCTAGACATTCTTTAAGACACAAGTCTTACCGGAGCACATCCAGACAAATCTTCTATGGAACAAAATCTGAAATTTTCTTTTAACATAAGAAGAGAAGTTGAATGATCCAAGTAAATAAGACGGTTGATTGACAGATTAATATATTTAACTACTACTAGGTCTGACATGGTATATTCAATTCGTAAGCTTAGTCAATTTATGCATGAACCAAGAAAACCACATTGGAAGGCAACTTTACGAGTTCTGAGATACATCAAAGGTACTCCTGGTCAAAGACTTCTACTACTATCTAAAAACAACTTGAGATAACAAGCATATTGCAATTCTGACTCGGGTGGTTGTTGAACATCCAGATGGTCTATTTCTCGGTTCTGCATTTTTCTGACAAATTCAATTATTTCTTGGAAGTCTAAAAAGCAAACTAATGTGTCCAGATCATCAGGAGAAGTCGAGTATCAAGCTATGACAAATACTTGTTTAGAGTTAACTTGGCTAAGATACGTTTTTCAAGACTTGAAAGTTTCACTATCCAAACTAGTATTGTTGTATTGTGATAATCAAGCAACATTACATATAGTAGCCAATCCAGTTTTTCATCAAATCATGTTATGTTTCGACTTGTAATATGCAAATGTTTTCAATAAAGCTTTGGGAAGACAACAATTTGATTGTCTGAAAGACAAGTTGAGTGTCATTGACATACACTCTCCTGTTGAAATATCATCACTAGCCCAATAGAGTCAAGCCCAATAATTGTACTAGCCCAATAGAGTCAAGCCCAATAATTGTACGAGCCCAGTATATTTATTTTAGTAGAGATTTTAGGAGAAAGATATCTAAATATTTTAGGAGAAAGATTTAGATTTGTTAGGTCTAGATTTAGATTGGTTAAATATAGATTGTTTAGGCTCAGTATAAATACCCCACCCTACCTAGGTTATTCATCCAAGAAATCTAAAAACAATAAAAAGCAGAAGTATTCTACAGAGTGTCTTGTATTCTCTTCTCGATTGGTCTTAATAAAGAGAGCGAGTGTTTCCCACAGTGAGTTGTGTTCAACATTTGGTATCAGAGCGAGGTGAGTGTAGGTTATCTGATCTCTTAGAATTCTTAGTATGCTCTGTGGTTGCAGCTCTGTCTGATCTTCCACATCAGAAACGATTTCTTGAGATTAGTGTGAGTGAGTTTCTTTTGTGTCGTGAGAAGTCTGTGACTCTGCAAGTCTTGTGTCAAAAGAACTTGTTTGGTATTACTGAGGTATGGCCAACACGATGGGTGATTTCCAAATCGTTGGAGGAATCAAGAAACTCAACAACAACAACTACAACACGTGGGCAACATGCATGATGTCCTATTTACAAGGACAAGATCTTTGGGAGATCGTTGGTGGGTGTGAAACTACGCCGCCAGAGGAGGATTCTAACGGCGCATTGCGCAAATGGAGAATCAAAGCAGGCAAAGCAATGTTTGCCTTGAAGACCACCATCGGAGAAGAGATGTTAGAACATATTTGGGATGACAAGACACCGAAAGAAGCATGGGACACGTTCGTGATGTTGTTCTCAAAGAAGAACGATACGAGGCTACAACTTCTGGAGAATGAGTTGTTGTCAATTACACAACGTGACATGACGATTGCTCAGTACTTCCACAAGGTTAAATCGATCTGTCGGGAGATTACTGAACTAGACCCAAAGTCCGCCGTTGTAGAATCTCGAATGAAGAGGATTAGAATCCACGGATTGCGACCGGAATATCAAAGCTTCATTACTGCTATACAAGGATGGCCCACTCAACCAACACTTGTAGAGTTCGAAAATTTGTTAGCCAGCCAAGAAGCCATGGCTAAACAAATGGGAGGCTTCACATTGAAGGGTGAAGAAGAAGCACTCTACACGAATGAAAGTCGGAGCAATAATAGGCCGTCTACCAAACGTGGATACAATGGTGACAAAAGAAGAAGCCACCAAGGAACTGCACAACCTGAGAGAGCTGAGAAGAACAACAACAAGAGTTTCCAAGGAAAGAGATTTGAAGGTATTTGCTATAATTGCAGGAAAAAGGGCCACATGTCTAGAGATTGTTGGTCCAGGAAAAAGTCGGTTGAAAGCAATGTGGCAATATCCAAAAAGAAGATAGAGGATGAATGGGATGCAGAGGTGCTATGTCCAATAGTAGAAGACGAGCTAGCACTCATGGCAATGATGGAAGAGCATATCGATTACGAGGATGACTGGATTATTGATTCCAGATGCTTAAACCACATGATTGACGATCGAAGTGGTGCAATGGAAGATGGGTGGCCCTTAGAGAAGGAAGTATTACCACACCTTGAGCAAATTGAAGAAATTCTTCTACAGAACACGA